AAGACTTCCCTGTTTTTCTGCACCGCGACGACATCGTCCTGCAGTTTGAGAAGGACAAAGAGCCAAAGAAGGTCGATGCCGATACTTTGTATTCAGCGCCTGCCCAAGCTTTGTATATCATGGATGCCGACATTCATAGGAAACATGGAGTTGTGTGCCAGTCTTTGTGGATTACATCTGCTCGGAGGCCGGGGACACCGGCGTTCCACACCGAACATTTTAAGAATGCCGAGCGCTTTTCTGGGCAGTTCTTTATGCCACCATGGGCTTTGGAGGAGATGTTGAATGCAAAGGCCTTACACAAGCTGAAGGATGAGGTTGTCAAGGAACGCTGTGGCATCTTTGGTGGCACTGCGAGGCTTGTTTTGGAGAGGGACGAGACAAGGGCAGGCGTCGACCGAAGAAGGCTCGTAGAGGCCGTGCAGTCAGCAGATGCGCTGCAATCCCTTAAAGTATCGTCTGACATGAAAGCCATAAGCAAGACGACGCACTTGCTGGTGAAGATGATGCCATGGGCAGACTTCAGCTGGTTTGATGTGCAGTTGTCGTCTCCCTATGTTCGGCAAGAGCTGGTGAAGCAAAGCAGACAGGACAACTCCGAAGAAGTTTGGAAAAGGATGCGGGAAGGAATGATGACTGGCATCGGTTTTGCCTTGTTTGAGGAAGCCTTCCACCAGTTCATGCAGGACAAGTCCATCGGCAAGTTCAAGCTCCGAGCCAGATGCTTGACAGCAGGCGGTAAGGGGTTTACACAGGAACTCCAAGGTGGTCTTGAAGGAGTGCTGATTTCTGGCAATCGCAAACCAGACATCGAGGATGGCAAGTATTACCAACCGCAGAGCAAAAACTTTCCAGCCTTTGACTCATGGACCTCAGAGGGCGTCTTTCAGCTGACGATTGCCGATACACATGACATCACCTTCCATGACAGTGGCCAGAACAGAGACCTGACCAAGACGCAGGCGTATAAGATTGTGGATGCACTTTTCCAGAAGCACAAGAGGCGAGCCAAATTCTTCTTTGTCGTTCCGCAGTTTCAGTTTGATAGGGGTTGGAAGACTACGCAGACAGTGAAGCAGTGGATAACTGACAAGATTGAGCAATGGGTTGTGTGCTTTGAACAGAACCTTCCGAAGTGAAGTGGAGCAGCGCGCTCGTGACCAAAATGAGGGAGTCCGACATCCCCCAGTTCAGGGTTAAGGTCTTTTGGGGTTTTTCTATTAGGGTCTTACCCCACACCTCATGTTGGGATATTGGTTATTTTATGGGTAAGGTTATGGATTGTTTAGGTGCTTTGGGTTTTGGGTCGTGTTCTGGATAATTGTATTTGTTGTTGGTTCTTTTTCGGGATAATTGTATTTGTTGTTGGGTTGCTTTGTTTTCGGGATTATTGTATTGGTTTTGGGAGGTGCTTTGTGTTTTGTGGGATTTAAGGGTTGAAATGTTAGGCGGGTTGAGAAATGGGGTGAAAGTGTAGGGGGGAGTATAGGGTGTGAGGTGTGGGGGAAGGAGGTTGTAGGCTTTATCATTTCCGAGTTCAAGGTTAGGATATTGGTTATATTATGGGTAAGGTAAAGTATTTGGGTGGTGGTTAGGGTTTAGGGGTTTTGGTATAAGGTTTGGATTAGCAGGTGGCGTCAGAAATGGTGTAAAAGCGTAGGGGGGGTATGGGGGTATAAGTTATGAACTCGGAAATGACCCTCCCTTGCTTGCTCTAACGAATTCCAGCCTAGCTGACACTGCTCACATACCCATCCATGCAATGAAGAATGCTCGAGGGCTGTAGATTTCCAACGATTAAGCTTTCGTGCAGGCTGAACAGGCGAGGGGGGTTTGGCCGTGGTGCGGAATGCCATCACGACATGGCCGAAGGGTTTGGTGCAGTTGGAAAGTTGCTTGCACGAGGCACTTGTGTACAAACTCATGTATGCATGCATGTATGTATGGACGAACGGAAGTTCGCACGTACCTAAGTATATATTTGTGAGTGAATGAATTGTCATGCGAGTGCGTGTGTCTTTCGGGGCTGCATTGGTGTGACTCTCTAAGGCGGGCCACCGGCTGGTACCAACCGAGATTGGAAGCGAAGTGGGCGCAGATGGCTGGAAGGAATCTTAGGAATGTCAGTTTTCGTCAGAGTGGGTCCATGACAGGGCCCATGGCGCTGTTCCTGTTTTCAGTTTGCCTCTTTGATTCGCTTGGCAGTCGATGGAAAGCACTAGCACGATGTAGAGAAGAACGATTGGAGCTCTGAGAACATGTGGGAGCCCACAGCTTGAGCCTCACATCCTCGAGCATTTGGAGCATCTAAACCAAGCCTCCGGCCTCTCAATGTGGTTCGCAAGCGAAGGGAACACGCTTATGCCCCAGATGAGCCCGAAGTCACGATAGAAAAGGCAAACCCTGAGAGGAAGAGCTGATGCCCTTCAGCCGCTTCCTCGAGGACTCATGGTGTGGGACTGGGCAGTCTCTGTGTTATGTTCTAAGACCACCACCATCTGCCATCTCAGCCAACAAGTTCACAACCCCTACATTGCCCCAAATCTTGCACAGTGACATGTCGACTTCCTGTGTAAACACAAATGCCCCGCGACCACTACAAACCATAAGAGGGCCATAGAGATGTGAAGGGGCCTGAAGAGCTGCGCTTCAAGCGTGCCCGGCGCTGCAAGACCCCCTAGTCAAGCAACCTGGGCGACGAGCCAGGAACAAGCTGGTAGCAAGAACACCGGCATGTCGAACGCCACAGTCCCAAGAACACCGAGTGTTACGCTTGCACGACTCACAGATGTAGGGTGCAAACTCAATCCTGGCATTGCTGTAGCCTGCATCATGATGTTCTTGAGCCTGGTTGCCAGGAGTTCCTGGCACCCAGCTGCTCTGGGGCCCAAGGCCAAACCGCATACCTGGCCCAGCACGAGCTCTTTGAACAGTGTCCCGTGTGCAGGCAGCAGGCAGTACTGAGTAGTCTTGCCAGGAATGAATAAGTGAGGAGGGAGTGGGCGGGTTCTGAGAGCCACCTAGGTCTTGCGCGCGGACATCGCTTTGCCACAGGCATGGCAGCAGGTCCGGTTAGGGAGGGGGTGGAATGTTCAGGTGACTCAAGGGCTCAAGAGTTGGGTTAAGGTGCTTCAGGATGGTCGATGCTGCACATGTGCGCGCTGATGCACCGAGAGTGGGACCTGGGTGATTTTGACTCAACTCCAAGATGTAGCACCTGAAGGTTCTGGGGGCACCATCGCGTTGCAATGCATGGGTGGGAACGAGCAGGAGCCGTCGTGCAGCCAAGGCATCTGGGGCCATGTTGCAGCAACGAAAGCCGAAAGGCAACCTTCGCACACAAATCCAGGAGTTCCTGTGAGGCTCCTTGCATAGCTCACCATGCAAGTTCTCTGCTTCAGGACACTCACGCCCTGCCACTGGGACTCTTACGAGCCTCGTCTGCTCAAGTATGAATGTTAGTCAAGTCGTTCACATGTTATGTGTTTGTTGGAAAGAAGGCTTTCAGGCCAGCTGCTTTTCGGAGGTTATGCGCTGTGATCATCACTACCGCTTGAGCTTCGACACTCCAGGAGTTCTTGCATCTCGACTGTGTGCCGATCTTAGGACAACTTCTTGGCACAAGTTCAAGGATTCAAGCGTGTGGCCAGCTGGCTCATTCAGTCTTCCTCAGCGCACCGTCCGCCCAGCACCCAATCCTAAATCTGAATGAACAGCAGTCAATATTGCTTCCGGCACCCTTGCCGCAAGAAAGACCTCTGGCGACTCTAGAGCTTCTCGCGCTGCTTGTACTTGTAATCTGCCCAACGACTCGAAATCCTGTATGTTGTGGTCTTATAACACATCAAATCAAAGGACATTCCTTGGTCTTGTGTGTTCATGGAAAGAGCACAGCGGCCAACCATCCTTGCAGTCACGCTCACATGCTTCGGTTGCTCAATGCAGATTCCAAAACGGTCGAGCTGAACTCCCGAGGCCCGAGGCCTAATCCGTCAACTTGAATTCCCGGGTATTGGATCTGACAGAGCGGTGTCAAGAGAGACGCCCTGGACCCCCAACGTCCTCAGAGCCTGCAAGCCCAGATGCTCCTGGCCCCTAGCCAGCGGGCCAAGCTCCACGTGCGGGTGGATGCCGGCACTGGCGCCCAAGGCAACATCTCCCCGGTGAACGTGGAGGAGCTTAACGGGCGGGGTAAGGAGTTTCTCTCGCTTTAATCTGCGTTGGAGAGAAGAGTTCTGTCTAGACCGTTTTTGCATGTAGGAGTACTTTCGCATATTTCGGTCTTGCGTTGGTCAAGTGTGCGTGGCCGGCCGACCTGCCCCGGTACAGAGCGCATGCTCCGAAAGATGAGCTGCTTGCCCTGGGAAAACTCCGAGACACGTCTGCAGCAACGTAATGATACGGGGCATGGCAACACATGGTTCGTCACAGTCTGCTGTTCCCAGCATGTTTCAACTCTACGATTCCAACTTGGACAATATACGCTGCCTGACGCTGCCCACAGCTTTCTCTTCCATGCATGCATCTGAAATGCGCTGTGCTCAACCCTAAATAAAACCTAAAGCTACAAGTACCCAACAGAATCCACCCTACCCAATACGCGATTCCATGTCTTGCCCGCCTCTTTGTGTTTTTGCGAGCCAAAGACAAATGCGTGGCACGTCGCGTGCATGGATACACAACCAAGTCCCCAGCAGGAGCCAGACCTGCAAAAGTATCCAGACTTCCTCGAGGCCGCCCTTCGAACGCACACAGAGTATATCGTGCTGATTTCAGGTCTGCGGGGGACGGTCCTTCAACTCTTGTTCTGCTTGCCTGGGCGGTCCATGTTTTTCTTGGCGTTATGTGGCTCAAGTGCCATGGCGAGCTCACCACTGGTAGTGGCGGCAGGGTGGTTGCAGCCCATCACGTCGCCGCACGCCGATGTTGGTGCCTCGCCCAACTCCGTCCGTCTTGTCAGAGACGGTGCCTGCCGAGTGCGTGCCCTACCGCGTGCTACAATGAAGGCACTCAAGCGGGTGGGCCCTGCTTCTGGCGCAGCCGCAGCCGCTGCTCTTGCTGCAAGGCTCACCCGGCACAGGAGGGCGCCATGCTCTTCCAAGGCAATCATGACGCTTGTCGATGGACACTACCACATCTACAAGAGCTTTTACGCCACCAAGCACAGCGGGCTCTGCAACCAGCGAGGCGAGCCGACAAATATTGTCCACAGCTTCATGCAGCAGATCGAGCGTATCCACCGGGAGCTTGAGCCCTCGCACATGGCAGTGCTCTTGGACAGTGCAACCTCGTCTTCGTCCCGACGAGACTTCTTGCCAGAGTACAAGAAAAACCGGAAGTGTCCCAAAGAGCTGCTTGAGCAATTGCCGAAGGTCATCAAGGCCTGCGATGCCATGGGGGTGCAGTGGCGGTGTCATGAGGACTTCGAAGCCGATGATTTGATTGCCTCTTACACGCGCCGATTTGGTGCATTTGGGTCCGGTTGTGAGGTGAAGATCGTTTCTTGTGACAAGGACCTCCTCGAGCTGGTGGGCGACCAGGTGGAGTTGCTGGACACCCCTCGAGACCACCGTTCTGGTTTTGTCCGGATGGACAGAAGTGAGGTCTGGAACAAGTGGGGCGTTCGACCGGACCAGATCCCGGATCTGCTAGCACTTATGGGCGACTCTGCCGACAGCATCCCCGGAATACCGGGCATCGGAGCCAAGAGAGCCGCAACACTGTTGCAACAGTGTGGCAGCCTAGAGACCATTGTCAAGCGAGCGCAGGAGGGCACACTAACAGTGTCGGGCATTTCCCCACGACTCTGTGGCAAGATCTGCGAGCACGGCCCAAGGGCTCTGGAGTTGCTAAAGAACGTGGTACGGTTGAAGGACGCCTCCGTGGAGAAGGAGGAGCTCGACTGCTTCAAGGTGCCCGAGCGGGACGATTCCTGGCGTGACCGCGTCAGCCTCTTCTGCGACTCCGAAGACATGACAAAGCTGAAGGAGCGTTTCACCTCCAAAGGCCCAACTCGTGGTAAGAAGGGCGAAGGCGAAGAAGAGGCGTCCTGCATCCCATCCCGGTTGGACACCGGGAAGGTCCTCGAGGTCCGGACGCCCGACGAAGCCCGGGAGGCACTCGGGCGCCTGGAGCGGTACCCCGAAGCCACCTTCGCCGTGTTCTGCGTGGGGAGCGAGGAGCTTTCTGGCAACGTTTCATGCCTTGCGATCTACGGAGGTCCCTCCATCGACCTGGGCCACGGCCGCACGAAAGTCTGGGTGGATCTGTTGGACGCTTCCGAAGAGATGCTTGGCTTGTGGCAGAGCTTTCTGGCAACCCCCCTGAAGAAGGTTTACCACGCGTATGCGGACACGCAGCGTGGCTTGAGCCGGGGCAGCACGCCGAGCATCCTGGGCAGAGGCGGCTTTGCTGCAGACGTATCGCACCTTGCACTTCTCTGGGAACCCAGCTGGAACAACTCACTGCCATGGCTGGCGGAGAAGTTGCTGGGCCCGACTTGGAAGCTGCAGCGACCTCAAGGTGAAGAGGGCAAGAAGAAGGTCCGTGACCTGCAGCAGGGCAGATGTCGGAACGATTGGGTCCAGTTGTGTGGAGACAGTGCGGCCGCCGTGTTTTTCCTCCACCAAGACCTGACGGCCAGGCTTGCAAAGCAGACATGGGTGGCTCCCAAAGAGGTTCTGCCTGGAGCAACAGCTTCGATGCTGGACTTCTACACGGAGCACTGGCAGCCGCTGGCTATGCTGCTCTCGGACATGGAGCTTCGCGGCGTTCCAGTCCACGGCGAGAGGCTCAAGGATTTGATCACGGAGAAGTCCACCGCCCAGGAGTTGCTCCACCGAGCCTTTTGCAGCTGGGCTGTCAGCAAAGGTTGCCTGAACGAGGCCTCGGCCTCTATGGTGAGTTTGAACTCTAGCGAGCAATTGGCCCATTTGCTTTTCGGTTCTGGTGAAAGAGAGTTCGCCGGCCAGGGCACTGGCCCGGCAGGGGGCTCCCAGCTTCTTCCCGAAGCGGAGCTCTGGCCCAAGAGGCTTCCAGAGCTCAAGGAGCTTTGCAGAGAACGGGATCTCATGGTGAGCGGCAAGAAGATTGAGCTCGTGCAGCGCCTTTGCGATCCTCAGGCTCAAGCGCAAGGCAGGTCTCGGCGTTCCCGGCCGAGCCTAAAGATTCGGGGTCTCTGCCTCGAACGGAGCACCGTCACTGGTGCGGCTCGCGCAGGCAGCGTGCAGCTGACCTCGCAAACGTTACATGAGCTGGTGGAGTGGGAGCGCCAGTCGCCAACAGAAGCTGCAGAGCCTTTCCAAAGCTTGTTGTCTTGGCGGCAGCATGAGGCTCAGCTGGGTTTCTTACGGCCCTTGCAAACTGCTTGCCGCGGGGGTCGGGTCCACCCACAGTTGAAACTGAACACGGCCACAGGCCGCCTTTACAGCAGGAGCCCGAAGTTGCGCCACGCGATGCGATCTGTGGTTTCGGCGCCTCCAGGAAAGCGTTTCTTGGTGGCGGGCTATGGCCAGCTCGAGCTAAGGCTGGCGGCACAGTTAGCAGACTGCCCCGCCATGATTGACATCCTTATGCATGATGGCGACATCCATTCTAGAACGGCCTACCACATGTTCGACGAGGTACGGGACAGCGTGGACGAAGCGAAGGTGGCTTTGGAGGGCGATGTCCAGGGAGTGGCGACGGTGGAAGATGTTTTCCCGGAGCTGCGCAGGCGCGCCAAGGCGTTGAATCTCGCTTTGCTATACGGTAAGACGGCTCATTCGGTGGCCAACGACTGGGGTTTGAGCCAAGAAGAGGCCTCTGCCGTGATTGATCGTTGGTTTCGGACTTTTCCAGAGCTCGAGGCTTGGATGAAGCAGTTGCACGAGAACGACCAAACTGCAACGTTGCTGGGGCGGCAGCGTCAGCTCGGCCGTTTGGAGGGGCGATCCTTCAAAGGGTTGGGTCGGACACGACTCGTCTTCCCTGTGCAGGGCAGTGCCGCAGACGTGGTCTTGAGCGCCATGGTAAAGGTGGAGCGCTCCAGCGTGCTTCAACAGCTTGGCTATAACCTCGTGCTGCAGATCCAGGGCGAGCTTTTGCTCGAAGGACCTGAGGATCATGCCGACGAGGCCTTGGCAGAGCTGGTGCGCCTCATGGAGGACCCACTCCCGTTTGAGCTCAAAGTACCCCTGAAAGTGAATGCCAGGCATGCGCAAACCTGGAGTGAGGCAGGGGCTTGAAATTCAATGCAGAAGCTGGAGTACACACAGACTCTGCAGCGTGCATTACGTTGTAAGCAGTCTATATTGCAGTTTCATTTTCCAGAAATTCGATGCAAGTCTCCTCCGACAGTGCAGCCGGGAACTAATTTGCAAACAGCCGCTTTGAGTTTGTGCTGCCATGCTGCTAGTCTGGTGCTTACGCTGACAGCACCTGCCTGAACACCGAGCACCTGTGCATGTGGCATCTGTTGCAATTGCCCAGTCCTGCTGCATACTTGATTGTATGGTCACGGGTATGGTCAGGGGTGTCCTCGTGCTGGGCTTAGGCTTAGGAGGTAAAGAAGGTCAGGGAGTTGCAGGCTTCGGCAATTGAATGACATGCGCACGGCTAGGCTGCTAGGCCATGTCGGTGAGTCCGATCCAACTCGAGGGTCCTACGGGTAGCGCGAGAGTTTGAATGCAAGTTCCCGGCGACAGGCCAATAGCCGGTTCCTGTTCTGTTGAACCCCTCTTATCGAGTGAGCGGCAAACCGAAACTAGGCATGCATGCCTCAGTGAAAGTTGTGCTACGACTGCGGGTGGACGCGCTGCTTTCAACGGGCTGCCCCAAGTGCTCGTGAGCCGAGTGATCAGTAGTGGCGGATGGTTCAGGGCTTTGAGGGGCCTGGCTGCTTGAAACGCACCTCTTCAGAGTCCAATTCTTATCGAATCCATCGCACAACTCATGAGTCATACTAGTAACGATTCGAGGGTCAACCGATTGAAGTCCGCCCTGCACGCGGAGGCTTGCTGAGTCTTCGGATCGAAATTAGCATGGCCTCAACTCCGAGCCCACATACTGGCAAAGCCGTAGGTAAGACAGCTAGGTGGAACGCCACATCAAAGGCATGACTCTAGATGCCTGAAAAGTCACCGAAGCCAAGGAAATGCTGATTGTCGATCTGGCCCCGGGTGACGTCTTGCATCTCGGGCTTCCTGAGTCAAGGGTAACGGTACATGGACACTTGAAGACATGAAGTCGGATTCTCATGGCACTGCCACGAGCCGGGACAGCTTGTCAGTAGTCTAGCAGTCTAGCATCGCTCTCAGTGTGATGCTTGACTAGTTGCAGCGAGAGCTAACGGTGTTCTCGTATTTATTGTGGGAATTCTTTTATTATATTTTTTTGGGAATTTGTTTTGGTCTGTGTGCGTGCGCGTGCGGTTCTCCTGCCTTCCTGTCGTGCATGGCTTCTTGGTTTCCGCGGCTTCTTGGCTTTTCGATGCCCCCTCGACTTCTTCTGGTATCGTATCTTCGAGCATACTGCCTTCTCGTTTTGCACGGCTTGCTGGCGTTCTGGTTTCCTTGGCTTCTTGGTTTCCTTGGCTTCCTGGCTTTCGGAGCATACTGCCTTCTAGTCTTGTATAGCTTCCTGGCATCTCGGTTTCCTAGGCTTCTTGGCTTTTCGGCCTCTTGGCTTTTTAATCGAGGGCGTATTTCTTCACTCCCTTTTTTTTTGCTAACCTTTTTTTTCAGTCCCCTTGGTCCTCTGGTCCCCTGGTCCCTTGGTCTTCTTGGTCCCCTGGTCCGGCGCAGCCCCTGGTCCTCTGGTCCGGTTTTCAGGATTAAGTATAGAAAGTTACAAATAATTACCTTTCGAAGCAAGGGTGAGCACAGGTGGCTTCTTGGTTTTTCGGCCAATCGGTTTCTTGACCTTTGGACTTCTTATAGCTTCGTGGATTATAATTTACTATGAAATATTAAAGAAAATACATATGTGTATATATATATATATATATATATATATGGTAAAGTGTATTATCTTCTAGTATATTGTATTATATTCTATCATATTATACTGCTCTGTATGATGTTATATGATACGACATGATATTATGTCATATTAGATCATATTGTATCTTTTTTGCTGTATTCTATTATACCATAATAAACTGTAATACTACATTAAAGTATATGACAATGTATCATAGTATATCATATCACATGTGTTTATTTTGTAATATATATATATATATATTAATGTATTTTGTGATGTTATCTTATGTTATGTGATATATTTAGTTTTATTATATTATGTTATACTACATTATGTTATGTCCTGTCAAAATATATTTATATTCACATGCTTTTAAACTGAGCAAAGTCGCTTCGAGCATCATCCTGCCAGCAAAGACAGAACCCACATGGACCTTTTCAGAACCCGTCATAAAGACGTTGTGTTTGCAAATTGGGGGGGGGCTGCGCCCCCCCCAACCCCCCCCCCCCCCCCCCCCCCCCCCCCCCCCCCCACTTTCTTTTTAAGCCGTGCAGGCTTGCTTTCAAGAACATCACACCATGAACAAGACTTGCACCAAGCACAAAAGTGTTTTAGAGCTTGCCAAAACTCATCATACAAGCATTCTGTTTCCAATTGGGGAGGTGCGTCACCCGTTTTATATCGCTTCAGGTATCAGCTTGCCAGCAAAGACAGAACCCATATGGACCCTCTCAGAACCCGCCATAAAGACGTTGTGTATCAAACACAAGGCTGTTTTGGAGCTTTTCAAAGCTCATCATAAAGGCTTTCTGTTTGCGGAGGGTGGTGCGTCATTGTTTTGTTTTATTTTATGTCAAAGGGCGTTATATTGTACTATATCATGTTATTTTAAGTATATCGAGTCGTATCAAAGTATATCATCCTTTAGTATACTGTAGAAATATTTTGTCATATGATAGTATATTAGTATACTACATGATGTTAGATTTTGTGTTGTTATATCAGACAAAGTTGTCTCATACTATATCGCATCATATCATATTATATCATATAGTGTCATGTTATACTCTATATTTCAGGATGTTGTATTAAGTATTAACGTGTATATATTGCATATTGTATTGTTCTATGTCATATGATATCACATTCCATTACATTATAATAGAATGTTATATTATATTGTGTTACATTCATTCCATTGTATCAGCATGATCTCGGCATCTAACCCTACATAAATGCCGAAATCTTCCAAATGAAAGCTTCAACCCCCAGTCAACGGCTTCAGCAGATCCTGCTGTATTTCTTGAGGTCGCAAAGCCTCCGAACAGTGTTTTCCCGAGGAACTACCAAGCAAAACCGAAGGAAAGAACAAAGAATCTGCAGGAAAGTAGTGTCTTTCCTAGGAAAAACACAGGATTCCGTCCAAAATGTATGGAAAATAGTGTCTTCCCTTGTAAAACGCAGGAAACATGCTGCTTTCCTATGCTTTAGGCCAAGCACACGGCCAAAAAAAACAATTCACCAAAAAATAAAGATAAATTACCAAATTAATTTCTGGCCCATTGAGTCAATCAGCCTGGTGTGCAACTGCCCAGGTACATGCCCAGCGGTTGGTGGCATCAAGTGCGAGCCCTGACGCCCTCCATCTCTGCAGTCCGACTGCATGTCAATAGCAGCCAACATCAGCAGTGCAAGGCACACTGGTGGTTTCTATTGTTGCCATGGGTGATTTCTGCGATGGACAGTTTTCCTTGGTCCTTCGCAACGCGGTGGTTCTGGATATTGTTCTTGCTCGTATGGAAATATCGTCGTATGACTAAGTCTTAGAAATGCTGATTGGTGCAGTCGTCGTCACAGTCTCCCTCGTAGTAGTAGTCGTCGTCGTAGTAGTGGTAGTAGCAGAAGCAGCAGCAGCGGCAGCAGCATTCGCGGTGGTAGAAGCAGCAGTACTCGTAAACGCATCCCCGAGACCGAGGTGAACTTCTGGTACTGAGCCGAAGTCCTGCTGCCGACTTCTGATGCGCCCAACGCGAGCCAAATGATGCAGAGCAGGGCTTTTCGAAGCCTGAAGTCCTAGAGTCGCTCCGGGAGCCTCATATTACAAATGTAAGTGTGCTTGCCTTCTTCTCAGTATTATCATTCCAGATAAGATTGCACATTAATTGGTGTACTATGTTGTTGCCAAAGTTAACCTAAGTATATTATGGCATTTTCGTGAGCATGTTATGCTATGTTATGTTACATTGTGTTTTGTCAGGTTACCTGATATGGCATGACCTGGTGCGATATCACACGATTTCAGATGGTATTTTGTGTTCATCTCATAGTATCTTGTGTTGCTTCTGTTTTCTTATGTCCCACCGTACCATCCTGTGTTACAACACATTGTTGACGTAGCGGTATCTTAGTTGCTATATGTTCGTATTGCGGTTAGCGACAGCATTATGTATCATATGTACTCTCATATCATCTGTTTGTACTATATAGCAGTTTGTTACACGTTTCTTATCTACTCACCTCCTGAGCACACTGTTCATTGAAGAAGTGGTACGGTTTCATACACACGGCCAGCGCGTACGCGGGCCTTCTTCTTCGAGCTAGCGGTCTCCCTGCTTCACCGGCTTTCAAGAGTCACGCAACAAAGAAACATTGATTGTTTAGGGAGAATGCAAAAAGCAGTCATACCAAAATCACATCATACCCTATCACACTAACTGAATTATGTTTTTTCTTATTTCCTGTCACGTCGTGTTATGATGTGCTCTGCTCTGTTATGTAAGCATGCAAAGTGTCCCAATGTGGATGCGTCGACTGTTTGTTGTACCCTAAACCCTCGTCTGACTTGTCGAGCACGAGTGACAAAAAAGCATGCAAAGAGAAATGCACATGTGTGTGTGTGTGTGTACGTGTGGGGTGTGTTCGCTGTGGGCTGTGGGTCCGACGAGTTCCTTGTCAGTAGTTTTGTGTTGTGTTGATCGTCGTCTCGGACCACGTTGAGCCGCTCGCATCTTCGTCTCAAGCACCAGCTTCGGCCTAGAAAGGGCTGGGTGCCCAATTGGCGCCAGGGTCCAAGTTGGGCTGCCAGCCTTGGATCCGGTAAGGCTTTCCCTGAATGTCAACTTGCCATCGGCATCCAGCTGCGGAGCTTCCGCTGGTTTCATGCGTGTTTTTTGTGAGTGTGTATCCTTCACCTAGACCCAAACTTGATGAACGAAACCCAAGAGGGGCAGTGCTCAGGCTGGCTGCTATCATGCTGCCTGCT